GCCATTGCAAACGTGGCCCGCTGCGCAACGCAGAAAACGCCAAGTACTCATGGGGGCTCAGCTCCGGGGGGCAGTCAGCTTGAGCGGCGATCACCTCATTAGAAGTATGGTGCGTTCCACAGACAAAGGAGTGGATTTTGCCGTACGGAGATGACACAGGAATAGGAGGTATGCAGAGGTTTGCGATGGTAGATCCAAGAAAAGGCCGTGCTGCCCAGGACTTGGCCTTATTGTCATATAGTTTAAAGGATAGGCCCACTGCTAAGTAAAACCTCAGAATCGTCGGCAGGAATTTGAACCTTTTTGTAATGCGTTTGGTCACAGAACGATTTCGTGGTGGACCCAATTGTGATTCGGTGGTACTCGTGACGCACTGCCCAATCTTTTAGACCAGAGAAGTTATCTAAGAGAAGCTTTGGTTGGTCAGCGTTGTCAGAAGCGTTGGGCATCCCGATGTCGTAGAGAATCTTGTACGTTATCTCGCGCCATGCGGAAAATGCACGTGGTGGAGTAAGCTCGAATACTACCAATTGTGCTTGCACGGTCGCCGGTGGCAGAGGCCATTCGAAGACATCAATCTTCAGCTTACTTGCCTGGTTGTCCATTTGACACTTTTTACATCGACCATGGACTAGATTCCCTTCATTATCCATGATGTAAGAGTGCTCCATCCTCGAGACCGCGTCCTTAAGTGACCGCCACCTCTGGTTCAGGCACGTCGAGTTCAGCACGCTTTTTCTCCTTCTGTTGCCCAGCACGTCGGTTGATATCGGCGTAGAGCTGTTGCAGCTCCGGGGAAGCGCGGAAATACCGCACGGCAAACGATGATTCTGTGGCCTTGTCCGAGAAGATGGACGTCGTGGAGGAAGCGTCCTGATACCGCTGTAAAATATACTCTTCAATATGACTGGCACGTCGCAAGGAGCCGGAGCGGTGAAGGAGTAGGGGATGAAGGAAATCTCGAGGAATTTCCGGTGAATAAGACGTCAGAAGAGGAATTTGTCGGGTGGTCAACTTATCCAAAGCCATCCAAAGGTCCATGATGGTCAAAATCATAACCGAGTTATCCTCGGGATAGGCATGGTAGATCTCCTTCGCGCTGGCGTAGTACTGCTCGACGCAGGATGCAATCACATCCGGAGCGTTGTTATCGTCTTGACGCGAACCAACCCAGGAATCCAGATATCTCTCGACGGACAACTCGAAGTCCGCGAGAGCAGTGCGCTTGTCCTTTGCAATAGCCGCTGTGAGTCCGCCGTCTGCAAAGTGACTGAAGTTGACTATGTCAACAAGACGTGGCGGATGAGAAGGTTTAAATTGTTTCTGCGGATAGCTACGTGACATTGAGCGGAGTGCGTTAATGAGGTGATGACGAGAATTCTTGAGAGTGATTGCAGTATCCCGGACGATGTCCAGCTTCTCAGGGTGCCACGGCGGAGAAAGGGATACCCTCGCCTGGAAACTCGACCACCGGATCTGAAGAAGGGCCTCTGTCTCCTTCGCTGCGTCGTACACAACTCGATAGACGTTGTCCGAAGCAGCAGTGCCCAGCTTCGAGAGACGTCGCGCCGTCTTGACCCTCATTACGTGGAGTGTCTCGCTTGGAAATCCTCTTTGGACGCAGATATGGAGGAGGTGTGCGTGAAAAACGACAATAAATGATTTGTACACGTCGTGGTCCAGGGATGTTTGAAGTGCCACCCTGATAACGAGCCAGAGGGGCGATCGGCGCCAAGGCTTGTAAGCGTCTTTCCAAAGAACCTCATCCCCTATCCGTTTAGTGATACGACCTACAGAGGCCGGCTGACCAAAGCCTCTTAAAATCCCCACTAACAGTTCGGATATATATCTTGGGTGAGCGCTCTCGCGAACTTCGCGTACCGTGGATCCAGCCTTGACCGTAGGTCGCGGTAGAATCCAATACGTCGACATCCATTTGGGCAAGAAAAGAAGCGAGTTCTTGAATAAAACATTCTTTCGAAAACATACTGGAGGGGATCTGGATAGCGGGACCGGGATAGGAACAGAGAAGCTTTCCGTCGGTCGACATGACACTGCCAGTTGATGGGGAGACTTCGAATATCTCGAATCGAATATGATCTGTAAACATGCGAACGAGGACAGCAGCATTCTGAGCTCGAACATGCGTAACAAAGACATCTAAAAGTGAAGGTAAACGATGATAAAACACGCGTGTGACAATTCGAGCCCACCTCCGACAGCAAGATCTGAGAAGATAAATTTGAGTTCCGCTTTCACTAGCGGACCCTGTGCAGTTAAGTACATGGACTCCATCATTCCTATCATATGATCCCACGATAACTGTTGGAAGGGCGATAAACACTGGGAGAAAGCCCGAGCGGCTTGTATGAGGGTGTGGCACAGTGCCACATTGGTCCTGCGTTCAGCTTCCTCCGTCGGGGCCTGTTGGGGAAGCTTCGGGGGGAGAAATACATGGTCAACAACTGAGAGCAAGACCTCGGAATTTAAATCGTGAGATATAGACATTTCGTTGAGAGAGAGGGATGGTGAATGCGACAATGGAGAGAGACCCTTAACCCGAGGCCTTTGAATCCGCCACCAGAAGCGCCGACATAAGCGCCGTAAACGCGGAAGGGGCACAAATCAAGCACATGGCCAGTAGGCGCTAGGCGTTACCGGAGAAATGGAAATATGATGGGAAAGGATTAGCAATGAGCAACAAAGATCTAGAACCGTTGCGTTTTTCATCTTCCAACGCCGATAGTAGACTGCGAGAATCATTGCTCCGTTATGTTCAACAGCTCATCGCCAGATGTGACTTCGTGGCGTTAGTAAAGGATCCAGTCAGGTTACATAGTCCTTGTAATCTTGGGTCAAATTGGGAAAGTTTCTGCATCACGAAAAGTCACTGGGTATGTCCTATCACATCATGAGACGAGGATCCAGACTCAACGTGAATTCACGTACGACGCGGTGTCACTAGTAGTGGGCTCGAAGGGTCGTTGCGTCCCTCCAGCGCCGATGTATAGAACAACACCTAGTACGTTAAAACTTGAGCCTGAGTTCTGCCGATGGTCAGCGTCCTGGTGTACAGCGCTATGGGGGAAGGCGCATATCACAATAGATTCCCACTCAAGTAGGCGTGGAATTGTGCCAGCACTGTAGGCATGATATCAATTTCACGGAGCTCTATCTGAAGTTGAGAGGGGATGGAATAGCAGCAGCATTCAAATCACTGTAACGAGGACTCCGAGTCGGAGCAACTTTCGAACACCGCAAAAGTGAGTGACACCCCTGACCCAATCCGGCCAAACCATTGGTCAAACCAACCTGCGTAAAGTCCACAAAACCAGCAAAATCGCTATGTACTGTTCGAAAGTTTTCCTACTACATTTCTATGACGGGTATTCCGAATCCTTCTGCTTCCAAGTTTGAGGCCCACTGCCAAGGCAGCATAGTTGGTTGGCCAAGGTACAGTGCCGCAATCAGGTTACGAGGATTGAAGAGGAAAGGCCATATCTCAGGTGAGCGTAGAATTGACTTGAACTACCACTCGTTATCAAATCAGTAGATCAATGTGGATCAATCCTTCGACGTATTGGGGTATCGTATCTCTCCGATGTGCCTGTGACGCGCTGCGCTTGATATGGGCCCAAGCCGAGAAGCGGAATATATCGGACCCATCATAGTATGTATTTCTCTCCGAGGCTTTATAGAAACTCTATTGGGGAATCGTGCACTCGGTTGGCAATAGCCGGCCAGAATACAACATAGAGTCCTTCGGGGAACTTGAGTTTATCGGAGTCAGTACCGGTAAAATCTTAATAAACAAAGGCGCGCGCGAGTCCTCACAGGCCTCGTCTGTCGTACTGCCGAGAAGTGTGAACAGAATGTATGCGCCCAAAATCCTTGAAAATCGAGAACTCTTTCTCTTCTTCTCCGAAAATCAATGCTGTCCGCCTCTTCTTAAGATCTGAGTCGCTGTTATAGGTCACTTTAGCACCGATTAACCCAATGAATGTCGCGTCCTTTCTATGCCATGAGCCCATATGGCGGGCTCCGGCTCTGTTAAACACTGAGGAGATCAATCTGACAAAGATAAGCGCCTCCTATAGTGCAGCAGCAAAATCGAATACTGACGAGAATTCAACGTCAGCTGACCTAAACATCGCACGATCAACCGACTCAGATACTCACGTCGATAGTCCCACTTGTGCCACAATGAAGACCGCGATCTGCTCCTTCATCATTTTCTTCGCTTAGAAGTACTACATAGGAAACGTCAATGTGCGGGCGTAGGATCAAGAGAAGTATACAAACAGACTTGTGAAGATACCGGGCAGTATCAAGTACCTTGAAGATGGCCGTGACAAACAAACCACCAACAGGGAGGATGTACATCAGAACCAAGGTAACTGTTCGAGTGAAAGTGTATTCGTACACCGCTGAAACAAAATAAGAGCCGAATCCGAACTCACTGTTTTTGAGGACGAACTTGGGCACGTAGCTCCTCGCCACCTCCAGTCCTGCCTACTGGCCGACGTCAACCATCGGGGGTACATCCCATGCCTCGATGTAAGGTTTCAAGATGTTGGTCCTTGCACGCGACATGATAGTGCGGTCCCAAGCTCGCTCGCATGCAATCGGTGGTTGTGTGAGAGAAAGAACCTCAATATGAAGGTGAGTTGCGGGGGAAAAAGACAGCAGAGGCCACTGGAAGATATATACGGCGTAAGATCAGTGGTAGAAGCAAAGCGAAAAAGAACAGGAAACGAACAGGTGGGTGAGCTTATTGCGACGGTATCGACCAACAACATCTGGGGGACAAGAGAGCGCTGCGATAGTATGACGACGAGCAGCGGATTCGCATATTTTATCGAAAAATTGTGTATATATCAGCTCACGTTTGAGATCGAGACTCAGAAAGGGCAGTGCGCGGAAGGCGCTTCCCTTTCCTTCCTTGGACTGTCGTGGTCGCCTGAATTTACTTGGAGTAGCGCGCAGCAGTTCCCATCAACGCATTGTTGGGGTAGTGGTAACCTGGGTCGTTGCCATAAGAATTTGCCTATTCGACCCGCCCCGGGTTCGATTCCCGGACAATGCAAGTTTCTTTTTTTTCCTCTTTGGTTCTCTGGAGATTTATTATTCTTATTGTTTTTATGTTTCTTCATAATAAAAATGTGCCAAGAACGAAACGACGCTTTCTGATTCCTACTAGCAGGCGCAGATGCAGTAAGACTCGGTGAATGATGCCCCTTTGCTACACTGGCTCACTTTGAGTCCAACCTCGACCTTCTACCACTAGCCAGCTCTCGTTGGACCTTTCAAAAACATCTCACATCATGGCCGTCTGTCTCTTAGTACACACACACAGATTGAAATTTTTACGTCTAATACGGCAATGTAGTGGAGCCGTCATTGTGAACCCATTGTCAAACTTCCTGCGCTCCGAGTCGTCTATGCTGCATCTCGACTTATTTTCTACTGTTGCAGAGGCTCGATTACACAACAAAGATGAGCGCTCAGTTGACCGCACTCTGTCAGGTTAGCGGCTTGATAAGAAGACCCATCCAATATCCCTTCTGTCCCTTTGCCATGGGCAACATGATGTGACTCGGCTTGCGATAAATCTTTGTTTTCTCGTTTTGAGGAGGAAGGGAAAATTCAAAATTCTCGAGGAGCGTCAAAATTATGATTTGCATCTCAAGAACTCTGCAAACGGTACCAATCATCAACTTGCAGCACTGTGCGTGAAAAGCGATACTACCGAGACGGCACTCACGAGAATCGCCAGCCGATGCACCCACGGGTGCCAGTCGCTAAAAAGCTCGCATATCAGAAGACGTAGGGTAGGACGAGTCATTTGAGCGCATACAGAAGCCCATCCTGTAGCAAGTCGTCAGTCAAAGTGCGATTGAGATCAACTTATACTTACAGATTGCCAAAGAGCCCAATGTTGGACGATGCTTCCACGAAATCCCTCTGTGGATCTAGGAAGCGATCTGGGTTCCACTCGTTCGCATCTTCGCCCCACACATCCGGGAGGCTATTTCCTGCTCAGCTACCCGCTCACGCAAACGCGATATCAGATTCACCGATTGTAGGCGGCCGTAGAAATATCGATCCGCGTCCCCTTCTTGATGGGAATTGATGTGGTCTTTTCGCCCGATTTGGTTGTGATTGGGAAAGCCAAAGGAAGTATGTCGTCCCGACTTGCCACCCTGGCAAGGAGCCAGACGATAGGATCGAGCCTCATCGACTCCTACACCTCATCAGCGACGACAGGGGCACAAAAAAAGTAACACCACCTTCAGCGTAGCCAGAGTGTATACCATACTGTCGAGATCCGCCATTGTAAACTCCTCTCCAACTGCTCTGGAACGGACAAGTGCAATCTCTTCTCGGATGCGCACCTGCGCCTCGGGATGCTTCGCAATTTCGTAGAAGTACCATGTCAAAGATTTGGCAGAGGTATCATGCCCAGCAACAACCAACGTGCTGTAGTCGACATACCAGTAAGCAACATACTACCGAAGACCCATATGCCCATCATGTGACGCACGCGACCTGATCAACCAGTTCACTGTCATCCATCCTGTTCTTGGGGTTGGAAGATCCGTTCGCGCGCAGAAGCACGCTCAGGATGTCGTTCCTGTCTCCTTTAACCGTGCTCTGCTTGATCAGTCCCCTAGAGAATTCACGGGAATTGTCTAACAACAAGCGGAATCCGCGGTACTCGCTCGTGGGCAAGTAGCGGACATATTCAAGCAGTGGTCCTGGGATGTACCTCCAGGTCTCCTTGAAGATGAGGTCGTACCAACCAGGGTAGAGTGTGGAGTCGATGCTATGAATTATCATCATCATAAGGACCGATAAAGATATTTCCGGCCTCACAACACATCATCATCACCATCTTGCATCCCGAAGGGGTTCTTCGTGTTATCAAGCGACCCGAACTGGAAGTCGAACCCGGCTTGGGATTGAGGGTCAGCACGCGACGTTACAGCAGCAGAAACACGCGCAAAACCTTCTCCAATGATGTCCAGTGCGACGCGTGAGAACCACCCGGTCACATTCACAAGTGGTTGTCCGGATGGGTCTGCAGCAATCACTTCCTTCCACCTTTGAACAAGCTACACGGTAATCAGATTGTGACGCATCCAATTACATCGCCAAACGTCAAACCTTTGAAGCGGTCCTATGGAACAACGGAAGGAAGGTTTGCATCTGAGAAGGGCTGAATGCTGGGCTCATAACCTTCCGCTGGCGGTGGTGGGCCTGGCCTGAACAGTTGTATCTATGAGTTGCAATCGAAAGCCATCCAAGGGAGTGTAAACCTTGGGCGCCAACTATTCCATTTCCGGTGATTAGCTTAGAAAACTGAGCCCTGTCTACCGTCTTGGGGTAATGATATCCAGCCGGGTGTAGGATGTGTTTAATGGCTTTTGGGTCCGCCAACATCAGGCGATCTGTCTGTAGTCCCGTTCAGTAACAAATCGGAGAACGGTTGTCGCACTCACGCCGAAGCATCCAGCCCGACGCCACGCACTACCATATTCGCGCACCCACTTGAACTCGCAATCTCCTACTTCATTCTGGTATCGAATGTCGGCCTCGTTACCTGACAACCCAATTGGTCTGATGACCACGTGGCGTAGAATTGGTGCACTATACCCAGCCAAAACGAAGATGGTTCCGGTCCTCTGAGGTCTCTGAGAGGTTCCCCACGACGACGAGAGTACAGAAAAGCAAGTAGAGAAGACCCCACTAAAAGCGTGAACAATATTGCAGCGAGGCTAGTCATATTGGTGGGTCTAGTGTCGTTTCTTGTCGCACTGTCTTTTAAGAGGAAAACCTAGTTAAATCCGCCGAGGGCACCTTGGCTGCGAACCCTTCAGTCCCTTGTCCCCTAGGGACCGGTTTCACTTTCAGAACTCATATTTCTTCGATCGTGCATCACTTCTTCGTCTCAGTCCGCTGCAGTGATTCCAAAAAAAAAAAAAAGCGCGTCGCTTCTCAAGCCGCTTCTTGCCTAGACATGCTTCGCCGCATTACACTATTCCTCGCACGCTGTCACGATGTGCTGGCCAAGCACTCGAAAGTCTGGTAGCGGTAGCACTGAACTCATGGATGACGTCCGTGGTGAGGGGAGGGGGAGTCAGCAATGAGTGACGTCTAGGCGGGGGTAGGGGGTCGTTGATTAGATAGGTCAATCGGACGGAAACGACGCCAGCGAGCATGCGAGGTGCAGTGCGGGGGTTCATTAGAGCGGGCATGAAGATGGAAGAAGCAGGTACATGTGTGATACCCCACTTGTTACAGAGATTCCCTCAATCTGAACAGCAGCGGGGATGGGGTTACTTGGTGAAAATTCGATGAGAAGAAGGATGACGTCAGCCTGCTTTTCGAGCCTCCGGGAAAGTAGCACTAGGAGAAAGAACTACCGTAGTGGGATGAACAGTAGATGTATGGGGAGACGAAATCATGAGAAGGACCGCAAACTGGCAATTGAACGGTTGACACCGGGTACCTTACGGTTCGGTTAACGGCCCGGGCGCTTTGCTCCCCTTGCTCTTTCTACGTACTATCTAGTATTTTACGATTCAGTTATAGCTTCTATACAGGCTTTTATGGCGAAGATGTTTCTCTCTCCGCCCTGACTCTCTCCACTCTGGCGATACTTCAAACATAATGGATGCTGTTGGTGAAAGTTCGGTCGCTGCTAAACAACTTGGAGAAACACGCCGTTGTAAAGTGCTATATAGGGTTCTGTACCCCAAGAAGCACTCTACAGCTAAATCCAAAACGGATGGCACCTTCTCTAATTACACAGGTCAGCTGACTTCCGAATTTCATGACCGGAGTTCATAGTTAAGTATAGTTTGAGATTCTTGGGGGACTTGTTATCTTGCAAAATTCGTAGTTATCAAATGGTTACAGTGAAATAAAACAGTTATCCAGGGATCCTGAGACGGCACACACCAAAGGGCCCTGCAAACATTTGGGTTATCTCATACTTATCCCCTGTTGCGGAGCGTTTGTCTCCCTTTCCCCCCCTCCGCCAAGTATCCCTCTGCCTCCCCAACCATGGTTGGCCGTCACATCTCTGATGAACTTAAACAAATGGCGCTCTCTATGTCCCTCCAGGGTCTCCGTGACTCAGAAGTCCACGAGTTCACAGGAATCAGTGTGCGATCTCTCAAACGATTGCGAAGCTCACATCGTGAAACTGGAGGAGTAGTCTTATGCAAGCCAATTGCCACAGGTCGGCCACGAGTCCTCACTGCAATGGATAGGGAGGTACATCTCATAACATCTCAATTTGGTCGTCGTCTCACCAAATTAGTTCCTTTGTGATTGTGTCAAACGCCAGCCTGACCTATCCCTCGTGGAGTTGCAGACAGAACTCTGCGAGGTCTGCGACATTGAGGCGTTGGTGCAAACGATTGCACGTTCCCTCCATAGGGAGGGTTATACTATGAAAACGGTGCGTCCCTTCCGCTTGTTTACTGTGAACTCTCCACATTGATTTTATAGGTCACACGGCCTGCTCTAGAGCGAAACGAGCAGGATCGACAAGAGTTCAGGGGCCTCATCAACACACACTTTCGTCCAGAGCAACTCGTGTTTGCTGACGAAAGCCATTTCAACCGACTGACATTGAGGAGGCCATACGCGTGGTCGTTGCGTGGTGAACGTGCGACTCAGTATGAGTTCCAATTTCGTGGAGTGAAGTATTCCTTGCTCCCAGCCATCTCCCTTGATGGCATCATTCACCTGGAGGTCGTTGAGAACGCTGTTACTGGTGTGGACTTCCGCCGGTTTGTTTGGGGATTACTCCCGCACATGAACGAGTGGCCCCTCCCCAACTCCATACTCGTCGTCGACAACACGTCGATTCACAAGGTTGCCGGCATTTGTGAGATGGTTGAGGAACGCGGCGCACGCCTGCTGTACCTCCCCTCGTATTCACCCGACTTCAACCCTATCGAGCTTGCCTTCTCAACCATCAAGGCGTGGCTGCGCGCAAATTGCGATTATGTGAACCAGGAGATGGAGTCTGAGAATGGCACGGTGTATAATGCGGTATGGGAGGTGGTTCAC